AAATAACCATTTTAAATTGTTATCCTGGAACCATTTTCGTCTGCTTTCACTACGATAGATTAAATTAACCGGTATTCCAAATATGCTGCTGTTGCTCTATTTGACGATTACACTAAAAAAAGGTTTCCGTTGCATAATGTCTATCCGTGTCGAAAGCCAGATTATCTTTGTCGGGATCGAAAGTTTTAACAACCATGTACACGAGGCAAATCCTGTTAAGGGTGTTAACTTGGACAGAATTCGGTATAATTCTTTGGATGACGAACAATTTTTTCCCCCCAAGTTGTAAAAGTTTCAGGCAAGCAGAATTCCTTCGGTCGACCGATCGCGAGCCGGGGATAAAAATTATAACGGAGGAAGAAAAGGGGTAAGCAAGGTCTGGTACACGTGAACACGTACACGGTCTCACACCGACTCCTGACAATCACGTAATTGGTGGAACGGTACAGGATAAAAATGTGGAAAACGCGAATCCACGGTTCCCTCGAAAACAGCTGTTACCTAAAGAGCAGATTCCCAGAGCTCTCGTGTCCGCGACAAACAGAACAGAGGACAATGCGAGAGCACTCCTCTATTTAAATACAATAACCCGGGGCTATTGTAAAAAAATTTATACCCTCACATGCACGGGAAAAGCCAGACTTTATACATACGACTCGATCGGTGGTATTCCCACTCTCCAAATAACAAGTGTGTATGTATACTCGGAACCCAATCACGTGTGTTATCCTATATTGTGCTGACCATCCGTGCCAGCCCTCTTCGAGCATCCATCGCGTCGATGGTCACGCACACACTCGAATATACGCCCATGTGCGACACTGTATCTACATACTCATAGGTATCAGGGCACCTACTCGGTGATATAATTATAAAAAAATGAAAAATATTTGGAATACTTAAGTGTTAAGGACTCTAAAGGAACCTTAACATCGCGGGGTTCATGATACGGACGTGACTTCACTATTTTTGAGGATCAGGACTTCGAGACATTTTTACTTGACAAATTAGGATACGGTCATTAAGGAACCTTCGAACTCCACACGGGACTTGGAATCCTTGGAGCTCTTCCTTGCCCCAATAGCGATTGACCACCGGGGTCTTGGGGGCTTTGGCTTTTCCCAAAAATGTTTATTTATGAAAGGATCAACGTTCTCGCTCACCTCGTGCTTACTTGCATGGTGTATCTGGACACTGGACAGCAGGGTGGGCGGGAATGTTGCAAAGGGTAAGAAACGCCCTGCCAAGGTGACGACTTTGAGGATTGACTTGACCAATCCTCTCACCGGTTAACGCTACGCGTTTTCGTCACCTTGGTAGGGGAAGCCAAGCTTAGGTTAAGGGTAACATTAAGATTTGGAATTAGATTCGTTTGATCAAGCCTTACAACCTCGAGTCGACTATCCACCTGCGTAGAAATATTCTTGTGCTACTAAAAAGAACAACGGGCTTCAAGGTTATCGATTTTTTCCCAAACACAAGTTTGGGTGGTCTTTCGAGCCTACGGAAAAGGAACACAGCAACGAACTGTGTGATAAGCACGGTTCGCGCAGTATAGCAAGTGGGCATAATATTTAAACACTTAAGGGGCCTTTCTACCTTGTGGGATTAAAAAAATCGATATTTTTTTTTTGCATTTTCCTTTAGTATGTAGTCTCGAAAATATGTCTACCAAATATTGAATTGAAATTTGAAAAACTAACGAAGTTATAGCCTGCTGAAATGTACCGCGCGCAGGTATAACAACTGGACGTGAAACTTTAAAGCTGTTTTTCTCGAAACTACATTTTTCGGCACTGCGTGCGTGATAACTAAAAAACTATTCAAGATATCAACATCAAATTTATACAGTATCTTCAGAACTGGTCTCCCTATAGCATGAACTAGGATAATTGCGATATATGCAATACTTTTTCTTTTATTAACAAAAAAGCAACCAAATATATGAAAATATTCAGTATTTTTTCGTAAAATAGCTGCCATTTTGCCATTTTTTGTTTTTTTGAAAAGATCCTAGTTCATGCTATAACCACACTCATCTATATTAAGAATATCATTGATTTTAGGATTTCGAATAACTTGTTCGCAAGATATCACATACGCAGTCGGGTGCCGTTCGTAAAAACTGTTGTTTGATGATCAACAAAAACAGCGTAATCAATAGATATTATGCGTTGCAAAAATTCGTAAATATAGCTAAATATATAATAAATGTATCTGTGGCGCTGCTTCGCTGCGGGTAGGGGATCTCGTGAGAATTCGTAGGAGGACAGAAAAGGAAAGGAGGGGGCGCGTTTCGTCCGGGCCTGCCAGTGGACTCATCAGTAAGGCTTTCTAGCAGGCCCTGCCTTAGACGACTGGGATATTGGGAAGTCGTTCGAGGAGTGTATATATAGCAACGGAGGGGTCGGTCGAGCGCTTGTGAGAGCGCGACCCCTCTGGTGGCGAGCATGGGAGGCGACGCCACATTACCCCCCTGCCAGTGCTAAACTATTTACAGGACTTATCGAATACTATGTACATTATCTACAGTTGTTCCGTTCCTCTGGGACTTGTCGTCGTCGTCGTGTCTTCGTATAGCGCCTCTATCTCGATTGACGATCACTGGAGATTTTTTCTCTGATCCTGGCTAGAACTTCGATTCTATTGCCGTAGGATATTGCGTGATTTCTGGCTGCTGCGTGGTCGTTCTCTTGATCGTCTGGCGCGGCGAGTCGTCCTCGTGCCTTGCGCTCCTGAAGTCATCGAGCGTATATGCTGCTGTCCTACCTGTGGCCCCACTATGCGTGCTATTGCTGCTGCTTCGAATCCTGCCAATCTGTGTCCTCCTGGAGACGACGGCCTCGTCAGGTAGATTTGGTCAGGACCGAGCGATCGAGTGAACGAAAGGCCACCTTAGGAGAGGGATTACGAAAGAGCTATTTGCTAGTACGATTAGACACGGTTGTTCGGCGCTGCCTCCTTCGTCCTACGCTGCGTGCGGGTCTGCGGTTTCCTGGAAAATTCTCGAGCTGCTTCCTAGTTGTCCAATTCACCGTCCGGGTCACCAATCGTGGCGCTGCTTCGCTGCGGGTAGGGGATCTCGTGAGAATTCGTAGGAGGACAGAAAAGGAAAGGAGGGGGCGCGTTTCGTCCGGGCCTGCCAGTGGACTCATCAGTAAGGCTTTCTAGCAGGCCCTGCCTTAGACGACTGGGATATTGGGAAGTCGTTCGAGGAGTGTATATATAGCAACGGAGGGGTCGGTCGAGCGCTTGTGAGAGCGCGACCCCTCTGGTGGCGAGCATGGGAGGCGACGCCACATATCTACAAAATCCGGAATTAATCGCTCTTTAATAACCCGCAAAAAAAAATCACAAAGAAACACGTATTTTTCATGCCTACAAGGTAGAATGGCCCCTTAAGTATCTAAAAACCTACTGTGTGTTAGATAATTTGTAACATCGCAAACGACTTGTCGACTCCAAAATCACTGGTTCTACTCGACATCAACGCGTTCGGTTTGTGTGATATCAACTCGCGTAAGATCTATCGTGTACTAGTGCAAATTAAAATGTTTGAATAAGTCCAAACACGACCCCGTTCCATTTACGTTGTACGGATTCCTTTAATTCACCGATCTATCGATAATAATCTCACAACGATATAATGAGGAATATAAGGATTTTAATTATCAGCAACGCATTAAATTTAATCTGGTTGACGCTAAGGGCTACACTTGGGGTGACTTCCTGGGTCGATGGAAAACAAAGGTGAGACCGAACAATTATCAACAGTATACTCCGGGTATTCAACCACTGATTGCTGACGGATAAGAGTTTGTATATGCGTGTCTCGACGTGGATGCAAACGTGGTAGTACGTGTAATATACAGTGTAATCGCATTCCTATGCATGTAACAACCGTGTAGGCACTGCGGATTATCTAATGGACGACACGTGTTAAGTATTCCTAGAATGTCGATAGTATGGGGAAACTATTCCAATTCACATCCCTGTGCTGTTATCATATCTTCCTTTTAGTTTGATAATATTTATACGTTGACTGTTCATCGAGCATACATACGTCAGAACGGTGTTGAATCGAAAGTCTGCTGAACGCAATAAATATCGCCAGTATCGGTAAATTTCACTTTTTTACTTCAAAATTTTAATAGAATATTTATTGCTATAAAAAAAGCCCATCGTCCTTCTAAATATTTAAATCATATTCAAGATTCTAGACACGGAGAAACAACGTGTTAAATACGACTATGAACCGGACAATAAAATTCATCATATTTATTGTTTCTGACTACAATCTCGGCTCTAGAATTTTGTTTTCCGCCGAACAATGTAAATTCCCATTCTAGGCCAAATGATCCATCGCTGTCTTGATCGATTAAAATTTTTTATAAAAATTTATGAGTTTTTAACCAATTTGTTTTTTATGTGATATTTTTCCAATATGTTTGGCTGAACATTTTAAACCTAAAACGTTACATATACTAAGGATTCACCTTATCGGCATAAGTATCTATTAGTATCTATGATATATTGTCACTATAAGTTCCCAGAAGCTCATTCTCGTCCATTTGGAAAAAAGTTAAAGCTACATTTCAAACAGTTATAAAATGAATAATTTTCAAAATTTTCAGAAATCATTTGAGATACATTTATACCAATATACATATCACCAAAGACTGCAGTATGTATATCTAAATCTTAACGAAATTCGAAATATTGTTCCAGAAAATGACCGATTTCACACGGAATAGCGATGAACAACACAATATTTACAATAGTAGTCCTCTCCCCTTCTTGCGGATCAGTTTTGAATATAGTTACAGATATAACCAAATTCTTTTGTTGAAAAAGTTTGCAATTGTTCGTTAGTGATGTCAGGCAAAGGGGACCTCGGAATATTTCGATAAAAAGTAAGAGGCAATAGCGAAAATATTACTTCATTTATTACACAAATGATTTATTTTATCGACGCATAAACGCAGGAGTCATTCGATTATACAAGACGATTTATAATAGTTCTATTAACATTATAGATTGCATTTATTGACGTTTCCTCTTTGCTTTCATTTGTACTCTACGACCTTTTCCTAATCTCTGGTTTGGTTTTCCGCCTTTTTTCTTAAAGTCTTTCCCGGGTTTTGATGGCCTTTTGTATTCTGAAACATCCGCAGAGCTCGTTTTTGTATTCTTCTTATTGCCGCGTTTTTTACCGCCAAAACCGAATTTAGAATCTTTCATTTTTCGTTTGGCGGCTACTTTCGGATTCACCCTTTTGTTCTGAGGCTTCTTTTTGTCATCTAAAAAGTCAAGATCCTGTCTCATACCCTTACGGTACTTTTTTACTTCTTCTAACATTTTTCTCTTTTCAGCGTGCTTCTTCAGAGTAGCTTCTATTTGCATTTGCTTTCCTACTTTTCTCTGTTGTCTAAGCTGCCTGATTTTCTCGGATCTCTGTGCTATTGTTTGTTTCTTCATAAGGTTTTCCCTCACTTTTTGCATGTGAACATCTGTCTTTGCCATTTCAGCAAAATAGTCGTCTGGTCTGGTTGTTGGGATTCCAAGCTTTTTTAATCGTGTGATACCGTCCATAACGGCTCCTTGTGCTTGCCTGTGAAACATTGTCTCCCTACGAAAATCATTTAAAACAGGATCCTCTGCCGGATCGTACTGGGGTAATTTTTTGTTTCCTTTCAATTGTTTCGAACGCCTTACTTCCTGTTCTTGCATTTGCAATGCCAATTCCGGTGCTAATGGTGCTGGCGCGTTAATCATATCTAATCTCTCTAACCATGGCAAATTTAATTTAATGCTTTCTAGCTTTTGTTTCATAAGAGTCTACAAAAATTTTAATCAATGTTCTTACGCTGCTTTCTTGAAACATTAATATCGAAACACTCACAATATCAGTTATTATCTTATCATACTTACTACACAATTTTTATGTACTTTAGTTGTTTCCTCAAATACTTCGTTGAGACCAGGTTTTAACAGTCCTTTTGTAAAAGCTTCTTGTAACTATACACGTGAGAAAAGTGAGGTTAGGAAAAGGTTGCCTCTAAATATTTTAAAACGTAAATTATATTTACTTCTTCGTCGGTACTACCATATTCCGAATCAGATTCGGACGAAGCTGACACTTTCACAGTTTTCTTTGTCGCGTTTTTCACCCTCATCTTTACAAGTTTACAAACCGCACAATTTCAAGATTTCTCTAGTAAACACAATGTATCAGCTACTTTTAACACCATCTATTGGGCACACTTTAGCACATTTTAAGCACACGACTTGCTAACTTAAATGATAAGCAATTGATTCTGCCGAAAGATATTACGAAAATAGACGAAATTAGAAATTGAAAAGTACACCACTTTATTTTGTTTAATATCTATTATTATAAATAGAAGATTTCAAACGACTGTTAATTTCTCTTGAATTTTATTAGTATATCATTAAGACGAAGATAATCATAAATAATTCCGCTTTATTTTTTAGCACATTAACAATAATATTTTATGCCCCAAAAAAGTATCCAATGATTAATAATTAATCTAATTTGCAATATTCGTGTTAATTGCAAGTTTACACTCTATGTCTTGCTACGAATAATATTTTTCTATACGATAAAGTATAGTCAGTCGCGGAAAAAATGAATTTGCATATGTTATTTCTGTATTTATAAAATATTCAAAGGAATTTCACAGCAAGTCACTAACCAATCACGAAGCAATTTCAGCTTAGACTGTACTTCGATGGGTAGAAATTTCAGGAAGCTCGAATCTGACATATCTTATGCTCTATGCCAGCATTTTTTGTCACAGCTGGCTAACGACAGCGAAACATCATGACGGATAGCGATAAGAAACCGATGTCACGCTTACTGAAGCTCGCTAATAAATTTAATTGCTTCTACCTGTCGGGTAAGTATAATCGTTTTGTTTAACTGTGCATCGCATTTTCGTTTGTCCCGTTTATTAGATTCTACAATGAATAGTCCATAGAAACGCGTGGCTTACCGTCCTGTCTACTGAGATATTGATTTTGAGGCTGTTGTGTATTCTTTCTCGTATTTTCATTAAAATAATAAGAATACCTGTTTTTTTTAATAGAACCGCGAGTAAGTTGCGCAAAACACCTTTCCCGTATCTTCCTTCGTGTTTTATAGTTTATTCTTCTTATTTTTCAATAACAAAACTTTTAGTAGATATGATTATGTACATATACTTGTCAAAGTAGATACCAAAGATGTGTCGTGTAATTGTATTTGATAATCTATACGATAATCAGAATTTATATAGTACAAAGCAAGTGTAAAAATAGGTTTCATATATTTTGATGTAATTATAGAAGTCTGTATACATGTTATTTTGTAATAGTTAATTGAATACAACATGGTTAATGTTATACTGAATTTTTTCCTTTAATGAAGATACTTGTATCTTTTATAAAATGTTTCTTTCAAAACCCCTATTTCGATATGTGATGTATAGGAATACAAAATATGGAATATATGTCAAAAAAAAAAAAAAAGAAGATATAGTTGAAATTACATACTTTTACTAGAAATGTATATGTTATATTACAGGCCTACATGCAGGTGAATGCAGAGCCTTTGTTGTTGATGGACAACAAGTTGGCCTTGTACGTCCAGATGTAATGAAGGAATTGTTAAATTACCCTCAAGTAATTATTCAATATTTTTAATTCCTAGGATATTCAAAGTAGGTAACTTTTTCTAGTTTTCCTTAACTCTATATTTTTTAAAGGTATTTCAAGTGAACCCAGAGTATGTGCAACTAAATCCTGCATTTCGAGACTATTCGGAAAGAAGTGCTCGTGTGGATGAAGTATTAAGGGAATGGCGTGCTGTTGAAAAATTTGTAACATTACGAGGATGGAGAGAGGAATGTTACGAAGTACGCGCACAATTCAATACACCACCGTTATTTAAAATGGATCGGTCTGCTACATGTAAGCGCATGCTCTCTTTTAGCAATAAATTAGAAAATTGTTATCCCGCTACAACAGTACTACTGATTAATATATAATTTGTAGGTCTATTCGGAATTCGCAAATATGGTGTAGATATTAATGGATATGTTATGGATCCTGTGAAAGGCTTATCAATATGGTTACAAAAGCGTAGCCCAAACAAACAGACCTGGCCTGGATATTGGGATAACATGGTGAGTGGTGGTTTAAGTGTTGGTTATGGCATTAACGAAACTGCTATAAAAGAAGCTGGAGAAGAAGCTAGTATTCCCAATAATCTTATTGCAAAACTGAAGAGTGTTGGTTGCGTATCACTGTTTTTTGAAAGCGAAAGGGGTCTGTTTCCCAACACAGAATTTGTATATGACCTTGAATTACCACCGGATTTTGTACCAAGCAATAACGACGGAGAGGTAGAGACTTTTGAATTACTTCCAGTTAATGAATGTTTAGAAAGGATATTGTCTTCACACTTCAAAACAACATCTGTGCCAGTTGCCCTTGACTTTTTAATTAGACACGGATACATCACAGCAGAGAATGGTAAGTGTAGCATTTTTCTGCTGTAAATTTATCTTTCTAAGTTAGTAATATATTGTGTATATTTTTTGTTGCAGAGCCTAATTTTATACAAATTGTGGAACTGCTTCATGTACCTCTGCAGACCATGTACAATCAACCACAAAAAAAATGTAAACTAGCCGCTAATGGTGAAGCAATTGAATCCTTAGACAGAATTTAAGTTTAATTAGACTTTAATTTAGACCATGTTAAAGTTAATTAAATTAAACGAAGTTGGTATTCTTTTGTGGTTTTCTTGTAATTGGTCAATTCTTCGCAGATTTTATAATAAATAGGGCAGTTTTATACGTATAATGGTTTTCGTGATAAATATATAAATACATAATTTCAGTAACTACATTAATCTATAATTTTGACTGACCACAGCGTTTTCAGACATTCATGTTTTTCGTTACAATTTGGGTGATTTTTATATATCAATAGTAAAAGTATTCATTAAATACAGTTTTTTAAAGCCATTAGTGATGGTTATACATTCAAAATATATTAAAAAACGAATGCAATAATCGTTGTTGTATCGAAAATTTCATTTAAAATAACGTATTTGAATTTACAGTCCTGCGAATTTATTGACATTATTTGTTTTGTAAAATTGACACAATATATGAAAATAATTGTATATTCGTCGAATAATTTTAAATTATATTGATTTATATTCTATTAACGTTATTAAAATCATATTGCATTTTCCTTTGATTTCTATCGATTATCGAACTGAATTTTGCACAATGATGAATAGAAGTTTTCGCCGACTGTATGAGTATATTCAAACGAAATGATTTTTGATATACATCGATATTGAATTAGAAGTATTATTAATACAGCATTCCAGAACATAGATCTACTACTAAGATTTCAGTTTTAAGCGACAGGAAATAACAATAGTTTTTTCTAACGTTTGTAATCGAACTTTTGTACTAAACTTGTACACTTAACAACAGAGTGCATAGTACCACAGCAGTAATATTCTAATATTCTGCGTAGGATTAAGATGAAACTCATTCACAGTATTATGAACGTGAATGCACAGTATACTGTTTTGATATGTTACAAAATTTATAGACGAATTATGTCAGCGTATGTGTTCTATAATCTAACTATGCTACCAACGGAAAGTGCTTAAACTCAGCATTTTCAATCAGTAACTGTTTTGAGAAGGGGAACAAAAGTGTTCGTATTATTTATTGTATGTAATGTAGGTAGATTTTTAATTAAAATACGGATTGGTACTATCGTTCTATTCGTGATATCAGCAAATTGCAAGAAAAGTGATTATATAAGTAGCAAACGTAAAATGCATTGATATGTCTTTTTCATATTATAAAGACATTTTGCAGTATATTTTATGAAATTTTTAAATTCGATATTATTGTTAATTGTATTTCTACAGTAATCTATAGTTTACTTCTGCATTCACCTCATCATTCGTCTCGTGGTATGCAAACAAATATTCTACAATTTTTTTTCTTTACAAGTTAATCTGTAATTACAAAATATTTTTATAAGTCTTTGGCTTATCTTTAATTTATATTTTGTAATTTTTCATCTAAGTTAAATGACTTTAATATTTAAAGAATTTATCTGAAGAAATATTCTATGCGTTACAACTATTAAAGAATCATTGTAAACATTTCTATAAAGTTTTTTCATAATTTTATTGAAGTTAGAATGTTTCCAATAGCGTATTTTATTAATATAAATGCTTTTTGCTGCTTTTTGTGTGTAAACCATTTGAGTGAGATTGAAGTAATTTGAGCGCAATCTAACATTATTTGATCTTATCGACACTAACTTGAGTTGAATAAGTTTACTACTTTTGTATAAGAGATTGTAATAATGTACTAGTCATATTTGTCGTCGCCTTATATTTTAACTTCAATCTGGTCATGAAATTTAGTATCTTCAATGCGTTTGGTTTAAGTGAAACTAAGATTTTCATGTTATGACTGTTTTGTGATAGAAATGGGTACGGCTGGCCATACTGTTTAATGCATGAATTAATATTGTCAACGAATAAATTTAATAAAATTTATAATGTCATAACTGTTACTAATATTACCTTGATGATCACACTGTTTGTGAGTTCAGTATAGTTACTAATTGTACAATTAGTACAAAAATTTTTTGCTTCTATCTACTTTTTTTTTCAAACAAAATCAGTATATAAGGCGAAACGTTCATAGTCATTTTCATTTATTATATTATACGAGCATATTATATGTTGTACCTAACTTTTATAATTCTTTATAAATATTGAATTATTACACATCCTTCGTTATAAGATATAAACATCTAATGATCATTAAAATAACAACAGAATTTATAAAAAGATAGTAACATAACATAAAGTTCAAATGCTTTATCCCTTTACTATATTCAGTTTATGTAAATTAATACATGCAATAATAAATTAACGTTAATAGAACTATATTATAATTCATACAAAAGTAATTAATTTTAAACAAATATACAACCAATAATTTAATATCTAAATTAAAAGTTATGTTTATTACTACAGATTTGTTAAGTATCAACTGAAATAGATTATAAAAGGTTGATATGTCAGTTGACTAGAATCTTTCAACGAAATTAATAAATCATGTAATAACTAATTTTTGCCTATTTTTACATAGAAAATTCTACAAATCATTATTTGCGCGCGTGCATGCTGTGAAGGGCAATAATAAAAATCATTTATTAGTATTTAACTAAGATAATATTTACCTCCTCGCGACTCCTTCTCATAGGTATTTAATGTAAATCGAACCGTGCAATTATTTTGTCCAATTTTACACTGTACACTTATTTATTAAAAGCTGTTTAAAAAAAATGATCAGCCAGCGAAAACCGTTACACTAGTAAATTTCCGGATATGCAATGCATTTCCGGAAACCAAGAGTTCCGTTTAAAAGACGAAAAAGATATTTTTCAGAAATCTAATAACAAATAGGGTGGTTGAGCTAGTGGGGATGGTTGAAAAAAAGAAATAATAATAAAATGTGTCAGCAGCTTGGTGGGGGAGGCCTGACTTTATCAGAAGAAACAAAAATCGAGCGGATCAGTCCTCATTTGAACAGTGTCGAAGAAACATACTTCCGTAATCGTTTTCGTACGCGATACACTTCCGGTGGAAATTTATCGTGACTTTTTCAATATTTTCTTTCCTGTCGATTATAAATATACTTTCAGTGCATAAACTAAGTGGAATAATAAGTGCTTTGCAGCGTATCCCCTTATTTCAAAGGTACAGTGAACAAGTAGCATAACTTAATTGTTATTTTAACAACATGCATGTTTACGAAACTGGTTCATTTTTTATTTACGATTTTGCGAATTTTTTTGGTAATGAAATACTTCCTAGTTGCGCCATGTTGCGAAATTTGTATGTGTATCAGGTTGTTCTACGATCTGTATTATACTATTTTAACAGTAATTTATACTGTCCTAGTTAATTCAACTATGAACAAACAATTTTAAAAAATTTTTCTCCGTTGATAATATACTAGGATTAATTTTATTCCTGTTAATTCGATATTGACTTATTTATTAATTTCCATTCTTTTTTATTTTATAGTCGATTTTTAACTATGGATTCTACAACGTTCTCAAAGAAAAAATTTGCGTCTTTTTTAATGGAAGTGTTGTTGTGGCCTGGATATTATATGTATACATTTAGTGATTGGTAAGTATTTATTGGATTTTATACGTATAGTTCGGATAGACAAGCTTTATATCAAACCACTATTCGATAGATGAAATATATTTAAATATGGCAAATCGATTAAAATGAAATCCGTTATTATTTATCATTTATTTCGTAAAATCGGTGATTGAAAATAATTAAAACTATCGAATAAAAGAATCGTCTTCTTGGTAATATTATTCCTTGATTTATACATAAAATAATCTCATAGAATACTACTTAAAGTAGGCGTTACATTATTATTAAGTGTCTAACACTATACTAAAGTAAACTTATTTCGCATCGTGTTTCGATTTTACTCATTGATGTTCAAATTTTAGTTTCATGCTATACTAGCGTTGCGCGTGCGTGAATACCTACCGAAAACTTAAATTAGGCTCTTTAAAGATTCTGGTTATGTTCCTACGTATTTAAATAGTATTTATATATAATTGGGAGAAATGTCGGCCTCGGTAGGGAGAAGAATTTTAATGCGTTTTTGCAGAAATCACTCAAAGATATTGTCAACGCGAACCAGAAATGTTAGATTTATTTCTATTACGAATAATAACCTAAACGATTCCACAAAAGTTCCGGCTTCTGAAAATGTTTATGCCGCTGTATTAAAAGAATTCTCTAATCCGCTTGTTGTAGAAACAATAGAACCTCCTAAAATATCACAAGCGAATGAAGTAAGTACGAAAATAAAAAAAACACTTGAATTAAGTATTTTAGAATATGTTTTAATGTAATTTTTGTAATGACTTACAATATGATCCATCGTATTATAGTTGTCATAAGAAAATTAGTAAACACATGTTAGTTGATATAGATATTTCAAACTAAATTATTTTTTATAATGCTCTTGAATTGCTCGTAAATTTGCTCTATTTCAATGATCCTTTTACATTTTATTTTATGGGGTGTTAAACAGCTATACAATCATATTTAATTTTATATGCGACACAAGAATTTAATTTAATAGGTTCTCATCGACGTTAATTATTGTACTCTAAATGCATCAGATGTCTTGTTAGCTAAAAATTTGTATACATCTGAACAACAATTGCCGATGGTTCTTGGTCATGAACTTGTTGGAAAATTGATTCAAGTTGGAGAAAAAGCACAAAAATGTGGGTATAAAATTGGAGATAAGGTTGTTGCTCTTAATAAAGACATTAACGGAGGTTTAAGTGAACATTGCATAGCAGAAGTTAGCGTAAGCAAGTTTCATTAAATTAATCAACTTTGTGTACACCAAATTATAAATGAAATTTATAGGATATCTGGAAAGTGCCTAGTGAGGTAAAGTCACTAGATGCTGTGTGCTTACTTAATGATTATGTTAATGCTTTAGTTGCATTAGAAAGGAAAGTTAGCATTCAAGAAGATGACATGATTTTAATTAATGTTGGTATGAGTAGTATTGGTTTAGCAGCAGTTGATTTGGCTACAAATGTATATAAAGCTCAGGTTAGATTTTAATGTAGTCACAATATAAATGTGTTCTACTAGAATTTAGAAGGTTAGCTATAGCAGTTATAAATTCAGGTAATAGCTGTTTGCGCTACAGAGGATGGAGCAGAACTTGCCCGAGAAAAAGGTGTACTTGCCTCCTTTAAATTCAAAGATCGTAAATTATTAAAACAGATAGAAGAAGTAGCTGCTGAGAAAGACATTAAAGCTATTTTCGATGATGCTGATGGTGAATATTTTAAGCAAGTTCTAGATTGGTAAGTAGTCGGTGTTTTTTTAATAAGAATTGAACTCAGGTCAGTTTTAATGATTCTTACAAGAGACTTTGATCTAGTAACAAACACTGGTAGTTGCTATGTTGTATCTTTTTAGCTTTACTGCTGTCTACAAAAGTGGTGCCACAATAAAAGATTTGTTGTGTGAAAATAGTTTTGCTGTGGTGGTACATCACCTTTCACGCGAAGGTATATAATTAGTTTGTTTGTAATGATGGTGTAATGTAGGATAATTCATATATTTATAATCCTTGTCACAAAGGGAGGATAATAATTGCTGGGACAGCAGCAACCATGACTAAGACTGATTCAGATCAATTCAGTGTTAGTGGATTTAATTTAAGAGAATATAGAAAACAAAAGCCTGAAGAATATCGGTATAACATTTATTTTTAAACATAATATCAAGCTTGAAATTATTTAATGAAAGTTATTATAATGCTTTCATTTATTTAATTAGTCAAGCCGGTGAAGATGTGTTACAATTTTTTGAGGAGGGCCTCATTAAACCAACTCGTGTGTTAATTGTTGGACTGAATAAAGTAAATGATGCATTAGAATTTATTCTTAACAGCAAACCTACAGGAAAAGTAAGTGCAAAGTTACTATACAGTTTATAATTTTAACAATCGATTATTTTAATTCCTACTGTGAGCAAATGTTTGTGTAAAATTAAAAAAAAAATTGTTAATTTCTCAGGTTATTGTTGATATAAAGAATAAAGAAGCTGAGGTTGAAAAAGTGACAGAATAATATAGAATACCTAATCTTAAGGCAGTGAGTGAACTAAGGTTTACAAATATGCAGAGTTATTATTAATTTTTTTTAAAGAAATACAATAATTGATAAGGCAGAGACACTAATTGTAAGATACTATGCATAAGGATCAATTACGCTTTTTATTAAATATAAAAAATGTTAACAAAACGTATTCATGTATTATATACCAAAACCTTTAATAAATTTATTACTTCTCTATAATTAAGGAAATATATTTATTTACCTTTACTTTGTTCAATAATTTTTATTTTTTATCGATCTTGTCTTTTAATTAATTAGAAATAATTGAAACAAATAATACCGTACCAATATGCTTACAGACACTCATCGCAAGTAGAAATAAAGAGTAATGGTCAGACACGTTAGACAAGCCATAATCGCGCTTGAATCGTTATCTTGAAAACAAAGGCACGCGTGAAAAAAAATTTGTTTTATATTTTAGATTCATTTTTTTATATATAGTGACTATATTGTTGCTTGTACCATCAGTTTTCGGACACTATAGATATATGTTATTAATTATTATTTATCTTTGTATTTGTTTTACTTTAAAGAGTATTTGTTTTTCTGAGCTAAAAAAGTTTAATAAATACTTTATTTGAAGGATATCGAATACAGAAATGTTATCTCGATATAGTTGAACAGTTTATTTTCAAATTCATTTTATGACATTAAACTCAGTTTTGAATATTACATACTGTAAAAAGTATACACAAAGGAGAATAAAATACCAAAGAATTTGTGTACCAAGTAATTTCCATGACAGTCAATATTCCATTCTTTCAAAGGGCTACGTGTTTGCACAACGTTGAGACAAGAGAAAATTGCACACATACGATTGTTCTTAGGTAGCGGTATACTAACTCGGTCGCGGTCATTATCGGTTGCTCAACGCCCTTTTATCAAAACTAGAGCATTTTGTTGCGGAGCTACTGACCAACGATCGAAACTCGAGTAAAAGTCTCGAGAACGAGTCCTTCATGATAACGTCAATTATAAATAAGTTCCTCTAATGATAATGATTTTGTCTTCCTTTGCTATCTATAGTATTTGCAGATTAATTGGACAGTGAATAAAAAAAATTTGTTTTATTCCTAGATTAGAATCCATTAACGAACGATACAAAGGCTAGTTTACGTACGAGTTAAACATTTTTTGTACCCGTTATTCGCGAATAAAATTTCCCCCACTTGGATTACTTCCAAACTTCTTGTGTAATGTCGAACGTATAGGCGTTAATATTTATCACTCCGGCTCGTACATTTTTTACACCGTGTTTCGCAACGACCTTTAGTCTTTATTAGGTCCTGTTCCAATCCATTGTTTCTGCGAAACCGTTTTTATTAGAACAAGATCGAAGCCAGGTTTCGTGGTCACCTTGGAAATTTATGCTTCGCAGAGGTATGGCTACGCGCGTTCCAGACACTATTTTGTGCTTTATTCCGCCACAACGAAGGACAATTAGAATGCCTTCATATCGTTAATCATATAGTCGGTTCGGGTTCAAGGTAGTATCTCCTGAGGTAATCGTGGGTGTGGTGAACGCGATTTCAAAATTCAATTGTCCAGTCCGGCACGATAACGCGAGTCCTTATGTAAATCCTGCTTTCTCTATAAACCTTGCCACCGACATGTCACCGATGTCGGAGACAGAAGAATTGCGAACATTGCTTTTACCTGTGTTTCAACGTGTTATTAATCGCGAGCGTTTCCCGGGCCAATTTTCTTCTTGGTAGGTCTACGCTAGTAGGAAAAATGATGAGGCAACGATGATGACATAGTCATAAAACTTTAGAGAAATTTTTGTTCACGATCTGCCAATCATAAATATTAAATTCTTCTTCCCCGAACACAAAATTGCCTCTCCTTCTCGTTCTTCGTTTAAGCATATCGCAATTAGAGCCAAACGTCTACACTCTGTACCTCTAAAACATACAAGCGCACGGAGACGGCCAGGCCTTTCAACGTGTCCTCCGGCGAAGTACTAAAATGAGATTAAAATTGGCGTACAACATTGATTACGTTTACAGACGGCTCCCGGAGTTACTCTTCCAGGAGAGTTTGATAACAGACGTAGCAAAGGAAGTAATTAGAACTCGCTTGTCGTCTCTTTCATCAGCGCATAACTAACGAGAGACGTTCCTCTTGTCCGCGATAGGAAATTAATCTGTCGAGCGTGCGCGATGATCGGTAGATTGATCGTGGATCTGGCCTCGGTTGCAAAACAGGAACGAGATGTTAGAGGCAGGAGGCGAGAATAGGTACGTGGAGAGAAACGAGTGGGAGAACTTACGACAGTCGCATATCCGCGTAGCACTTACGCGGCATTTGTCGCTCTGTCCGCAAGAACGATAAAAGGAAATGGCCTCTGCGGCTGCGTATCTGTACAATCACTTTTGAGACCACGGTTCGCCTAGATATGCTAATATGATTAGAAAAGAGCAAGGGACATTTGCAAGACTTTCCTTTCGGCTCGACCGGTAAATTGCTCTCCGTTATCTGGCCACACGCGTGAAACTGCCCTCTGTACGCAATCATTTTACAGCTGTTGAAATTATTCATCGACCCTTGAAACGCTCACAGTGTCCACGAACCCCTATTTATTGGCCAGATATTTTCATCGAAAACGATTGAAAGGATCTTTCAAAATCTTACAGGAAAATATAAATCTTTGTATTATTACGGATACTCAGCATTCTGAACATTTAATTCTATTTAAACGAAAGACTGGTCGCTGGTTATACATTTCTGAGTTCAATGTCATTTGAAGGTCACTTTGTTATACATCATTGTATTCGGTTTAACTATAATACCACAATGATACAAATATGTGATCCCACTGAAGAAAACGTCGATGACCTAAAAATCTTGGAAAACATGACCTTGAGAAAAATGATCCAAATGTACTTCTTGAAACGTTGAAAAGTGTAACCTTATTACCCTGAACGGTTGGGGGTAGTTATCAGTATCTTAATAAAGACGATTAATTTAATGTCACTTCGATCAAACATTTTTATTTTCCGACGAATAGAAAAATTTTCGAACTTTTAATCTTTCCAGGCCCACATCACTAATGTTCGTAACTATTTTCGAACAAAAGTTGCCGCATACTTTTTTGCATTACATTATTCTGTCTCGTGTTTCCGCGTAAATTACAAAATTAGAAAATCGCTGCGAGTCCTCTATAAAACGAAAATTAATTCCTCGGTGTTCCATATCTGCGTCGAAGCAGGAGTTACACGGAAATTGCAAACGACGCTGGTAATTATGATCGCTTTTCTATGCCTCAGCATAGTTACGGGGCACGGTCAGTAGCAGCCAATAATAAAGTTACGACAGACCGGCGCTAATATTATGCAGAGACCATGGCTCTGCTCGTATTGTTGTGCCAGTCAATTCTGGTAGCACACAGATATCTCCACCGACAATACTACCCCATTGCCCAGCATTCTCGGATGATAACACTTTCACCGATCACGTTGACAATAATTAATCCATCGTCGATAAGCTCGAAACGTTTAACGACTCGATTCGAACTAAAAAACTATTTTAACGGTAGTCGAGGAAAATACTAAGACATTTTGCATATTTCCAAGCGGACTCATAATCTTATTTATACAAACATTTTTAACTAATTTTACTTATTTTTTATTTCTAAGGATTTGTACAAAAATTTGTGCAAAAAATCCCTTTCTGTATTTATTATTTCATTCTCGAAGGTCGTAAAAAGATCGATTAGTCGCGCGTAGCCTCTCAGTTTTGATTTTCTATACGATTCTGCGCGTTGTAGATTCCGCAACGCTCCGAGAAGTTTTCTTTTTTTCAAGATCTGTCGTACATTCTAAATGCCCTATCAAGTTGTATGACGAATGACACTCCTGTCGCGCCACGGTTCGTCAGGTCGACCCGCAAAAGAGTGATACACTAATAACTGGAGCAAAGCTTGTTGTGTAAGCTGGTGGGTGGCCGCCTTTCTCTGCTGTTGCCAGGTTTAATACGGTCGTTGTATGCGAGAACAACGATTCCTCATCTAGCCACGGGATCAGATTCTTTTCACGCGGGGGACATTAGAGGAGAGATCGGCTTTGTGTAATAATTAGAACGGTTACAGGATATTTTAATTATACGCCACTGTCTCGATTCTGACTGGAGCGTCGGGATACGGGTTATTACAAAGTCGATATATCGCCAAGTAGATCACGATCTCGATGACATTGATAAGTCGATTACCAGCCGATACGCGTGGCTCTTCAAATTTAAATAAAATTTACTTACGTCATTGTTGTTCTTGCAAGACGAGCCGTTTTCTTTTCGTCGAAGGCAGCCCACGGGGCAATTCCTTTCCCCGATTGGACGGAATTGACGGAAAGTCAACTGGTTTCGCTAGCAGTACTGAATTCGAACGGCGAAACAAGAGGTAACGAGTGAATTGTCGCGAAGGCCATCCAGCTCACTTTTCCCTTGCACTTTTCTCAGCTGATTCTTGGTTCTCGTTACGGCACTCTCTTTCTCTCCACCTTCCTGTCTGTTCTATTTTCGTTTCGATCGTATCCAGTCGAAGGAAAAGTATGAATTCCAGTCGTTATCTCAATGCCGTTCGCTACTCTTTTTTTTTTTCTTCAAATGTACGATTCGATCTATTGTTTCTGGATCAATCATCGAACGTACTTTTGCGCTCGCCACTTACCCGAACAAGAATTCCAGTCACACGAACGAAAAGTTTCAAGCAGTGGGGATAATCAGTAGACTCATTACATAAACTGCTTGTTCCCCGATGGGCTCGTATAAATGGAGTCTACTGTACTGTAAACATTATACATGCGATATACAAATGAAAAATTAAGTACACAGACTACAACGTGGGTGATGGAAGCAGCGTACAGTTTTGTATCACTCGCTATTATTTTCTATAATTCTTATATAATCTAAAAAATAATACTACAGTAATAGCCATTCCTTTAGTGTCATATTTTCCGTTTTGCTGTTAAGAAACATAATCGACTGAAAATTTCTTATTGTTTCATAAGAAAAATTAAGTGATGTCTTTGTCAGTTTTTTTTGGATATTACTTTGTAAAGTTTATTCGATATTTTAACCCCTTAACGTACGATTTAATTCCAAATAATTTTTCAAACGTATACTATTTAATTTTGTTTAAATTTGTTCGTACAAGGAATGGCCACGAAACAGAATAAATTGTTTAATATCTTGTGAATGTTAAAATGTGTTGATCTTAATATATAAAATTTAATGTCGAGTGAGTAGCCTCATGATTGTAAAATTTGACATCGAGAAGGGGTTAAGTAAAACAGTTTACGATGACAGATATTTACTATACTTTTAATATAACTCAATTTCGATCAGAGGCACAAAGCGTCCGAATATTAATATTGTTAGGCTAGTCTAGCGATTTTGAACATCGAAAAGACCGTACTTTAAGTTTCCGAAAAATGTACTTTCACGTATCCCGTAAATCGTGATTCCTTCGAAGATCCTTCGTAGATCCTTCGAACGCCATTTACCATACTTGTTTCAATATAACTCACTTTCGATCAGAGGCACAAAGCGTTCGAATATTAATATTGTTAGGCTAGTCTAGCGATTTTGAACATCGAAAAGACCGTACTTTAAGTTTCCGAAAAATGTACTTTCACGTATCCCGTGAATCGTGGATCGTTCGAAGGGCACCGGCGATTTTTCCATCTGGACGCGTTGTTCTCGCATCCGGGTGACATTTTCGCCAGTCGAAATTGCATCAAAAGGTAGGTCGGCGTGTTTCCAAACTGCGGGTGGCAATTTATTTTTTGTTTCCCGATCGGTTGACCGATATCCTTGGATTTTGGTATCCCTTCCATGGACACCGGTGACAGAAATGTTGAGTGGGATAGAGAGAGAGAGAGAGTTCGCGACGACAGGGAGGTAGCCAGGGAGTGCGAGCGGGAAGGAGAGAGAAAGAACGGATTTCGAGCTGACAGGAGGGATAAGAAACCCATGCACGTACTCGGTTTCCAGTGGAACGACGACTTTAGTCTGACGACCGCTTCCATGGAGCGAGGTTGACGAATCCCGAGGTGGATCCCGGCGAGCCGTGTACCCTTCGAGTGTCTCCGGGCTGAGGAAGGAACCTCGACCTTCTGAAAATCGAGTTTTCACGCCGGTTTCACAGATATCCGGCGAATTATTCGACGAGTGCTGGACCGTTTCGTCGTAACTCGTGAAAGTGTCCAGCCATTAAAGAACAGGTGTTCCTGGCGTTCTAGGCTGTATCCGACTGGTCGAGAGAGTTTCAAAGCGTTTCTAGGATCGTTCTGATCACGTTCGAGCGGATCCACGATCGTTTCGCGGTGTCGTCTTGGAACCAGGTCTTCCAAGCTCTTGAGATCGAGTCTTAACGGTGAAACGTCGAGCTAATCGTCCGGGAAACCGATCGTCGATCGCGGCACGTGCCGGTTTCCACGCTTGGCCCGAGGATTCGTGACTCCGAAGAAATCGTCGACGTGTTCTGTGCAATCACGGTTATTTTCGTGCCTGCGCGGGAGGGAGGGAGGGAGAGAAAGGGAAAAGGAGGGAGAAAGTGTTTACCGGTGACGATATCTCAGGTGGATACGTATCGAGGGTAATCGAGACGATCGCGTGTAATCGTTGGTGGTGTGCGGGATCGACGCTCGATCGGCAGGATCGAGCATGCGGGGCTCGCGTTTCGAGACAGAATGAGTTGTGCCGATTGTGAGGAAGCTCTCTGCATTAACATGCGCGAGATCCTGCGTGCTTCCCGGGACCGATAGCTAGTTCTGTCGACGGGCAACCTGGTGAACGCTCCTAGTGCCGTTGATCCTCCAGAGGTCGTCGAACGAGGATCTATCCCGAGGGGACCAGGCTTCCAGGATACTTCAGGTTCGTTGCTTTCTCTCTTCTTCACTCATTTGCACGTGGTTCTATGCAATTGTACATTCCCTCTCTATTTAGAACAAATAATTCGAGCATCCTTATGTAAATACAGGGTGAAAATATTTTCTGTCCAATATAACGTTATTCTCGGAGAGTTTAAAATTTTTTTGCTCACATTTAGTTTTAAGGATATAATTCTCTAAATATAAAAAACCGTAAAGGAAAGTATCTCGTATCTTAAGGGAGTGTTTCCATTCGGGGACGTTGGTTTCCAGCGATTTTTAAAACGAAGAATTATTTTAATTTTTATCATTACTCGAGTTATTATGATAGAAACGCAACGATAGTGATCGTAGTACGGTTTTCTACCTACTCGGAAGGCTCCCGGTACTTCCGACGTTACGTTACGTACAGCCAATCGAAAAACAGCGCTGTGTGTTTTCCGCACGTGCACATGAAAGCGGCGGAACGATCGAGAGGTACATATCAGGAAACGTTGATTCCGATCAACGGTCAGGTAAACAAGATTAATCGAATGTTAAACGTTTTTTAATCCCCGTGTGTTTCTCTCGCGTCTCGAACGACTTGCTCGCGTTTAATTCGTCGCTTATTAACGATCGTAATGCATCGTCGGAATCTCGACTTTACGATCCGCGTAGTCGATTCGCGGTATCGATAGGAAAATGAGCCGAGTCGGCTGTAAACGTGCTCCTTGCCGCGGAGTAATTCACCGACGTTACGTAATTAAATCTGAGATCGATCCGTTGGACAAATGCCAAATTATAAACGAAACTCAGGAAACCCGATAAAGATTTATCAACTCGTTTGATAATATTTTTTTTTTTCACGGTTAACGGTTCTACACGCTGTTAGGCGACCTTTAGAAAGAATGCAGACATTTGAACGAGCAGTTATCGAAAATGAAAGCTAACTGGTTACCCAGTTGTCCAGCAACTATCGCTGCAGGCAGTTCTCGTCGTATTGGCACGTCGCAACGGTCAGTATCCTACTCGCGATAGCCCAAGTTTCACTGTTTCGATTCGGGAACAGCTTTTATGTAACCACCCCGTAAAATGTCAACCGTTTGTTGCCGGATCTTTCCGCGCGATTTTTTTAACTATCGCCTGATAACTCCGCCACCGTAATAACATAGAAGGTAATCGTTACGACAGTTATCTGAAATTGCGTAATATAATATATCGGGCGATTTTAGGTGTCTCGATAAAATTTTTATTAACAATAGTGAGTTTACTAGTTCCAGGAGCAGATAAGCGTCGATTCAGTATTTTATGTACCGAGCGGCGAATGCCAGTAGGAGTTCGACGTATAATGCAATTGTGCGATTACAGAAATCCCGTACGCAGCGTGTGTCCAAACTCGAGCTCGTCGGAGATTCGATATTAATTACTTCGTGCAAAAAATATTATGATATAGTAAGCAGTTTTATTTAACTTAATAAATTGCGAAATCGATCATCGTTAACCTAGTTCACTATCTCGATAAAAATCAACCTTGATGAGAACATCTTCATTTCGTTGAACACTTTCACTGCCTATGGCGACCACGTGTTGTATATTCATTTTCTTGCCGGGTGGTATCGAGACCTCCGGTTACCAACCCTACGTTTCCTTAGGGCAAAATAATACTACAATTTTGCAAAAACGAAAGATCGAGAATTTATTCGAAACACCACGGGTCACTAAAAGTCTTTCGAACTATCGTCCCTTTGATAATAATTCGTACCTTTGGCTCTGAATGAGAATTAAGTTTTTTTTATCAGTCGATCGAAATATTTCGTTTGATTTCTTTCATTCTTCGTCTGAATTTTTTCATTATTAGAATCCTGTATTCTACCTATAATGGCGCCAAATTTAAAATGTCAACTATATACCGCACTATAATCCGTCTATTACTTCGTTCTTAATTATATAAAAGGAATATCGAAAAGAATCTTTTTTTGAAAATTTTCTTTTCTGTAAAATGACTCATACCATGAGACAATATTTTCCTTTTTATTCCGTTTCAGGACATGCAAAATGATCATTTATAATTATTTTGAAAACGTGTGTGAGATATTTCGATACGAAAAATTATATAAGTCCCTTGCTAAAAAATGATAGAAAAGGACCTAAAAGTATGCATTTTACAGTATCCCCTTAGGTCGAATAAAATGTTTTCTTGTACTTTTTAAAGATATTCCACATAATTCTGCTGTAACGTCGGTTCTGTTTGAAATTATGCAACAACTCGAAGAACTGGATTACCGAAGCGACGAAAAAGAATGGAAAAAAAGGAAAACGTATCGCAGGCTATTTGCACGATTGAAGTAATATGCAAATGAGCGAGTTCGAAAATCTCATTCGCTCGTTTTGCTTTCCTTCGTCCCGACACACGTAATCCACTTTCGTCTCTTAGATAATACGCGTGGAAAATATCTCGCGAAGTTTGTCGATCGCATGATTATCCGGAAGTGGTTCGCGTAGTATCGATTACTAGCAATGACAATCGACGCGTATCGATTTCGCATTTTCTCGACGCGGGTTCCGAGAGAAGAATGCGTAACGAAAAACTAACAAGTTGAAAAAGGATTACTCTATTTTCAAAACAAATATTTCACGAACAACGAATCAGAATTTAATCGAGATAGTATATTGTTAATGTATTATTCGTTTGAAAAGTTGTCTGAATAATTGATTCTTTTGCTTTCAAATGCACAGCAAGACTGTATTTAATTTCTTATATTAACTGTTTACGTTTAGCAAGTTTTTCGAGAATCGTATGAAAAGAAAGTAGAATTTCAGATTTCTGACAGGAACGTGGCCAGAGTTCCAGCGGATCAGCTTTTCACAATTTTTTCTGAAAGAGAATGTACCGACAACGTTTTTTCTCTTATTTTTCTCGGCTTATCGACACCGTCGATCGATAGCTCTCTAACGATTATCGATACTGTGTTGCGCAACGGTGTTTTTACGGCGCGAAATGGATTGTGGGACTTTCATGAATGTGTCATATTACGGAAAGAGTATGGTCACCGGCTGCAATTCCTTTTTCGCTTTTCTTTTCTTTTTTCCACGCCCTAAAACCGCAACTGGGAAACCTTTGTCGGTTGATTAGCGACACTTGCCCCTCGAATTATATAAAATACCGCTCTGGGGATCCTGATACGGTAACTCGATATTCTATTTTTCTGTCCTTGCAACCAGCACGGCACGCAATGTTGAATTCTACGCGTAAACGTGTCCCTTTGGAAATACGTGTGCGTGATCGACGTGAGAAACATTCTTGCGCTGTCGCGTTCTCACATCTGGCCGGATCGGGTATTATCAGAATTTCGTTCGCGTTCCTGGACACTGTGTAATAATATCAATACCCTTTCTTACGATGCCCCTAAGCGAGTGCTTATTTTGCTCACTGGTCGATTCAGCCCTGGTAATTTTCTTTGGGCAACATCGAAATGCAGTCGCGGCGTGTCGCGATACTTCTAACGAATTCTAATGAATTCCTCGAAAGTGTCTGGGCAAGAGAAGCACCGCGACAAGCGTGATTTATCGCCTATTTGATTTTCACGCGGCCAGCGCCGAATAAATTACTGTGTTTTGAGCCACGTTGCCAAATAAAGTTGTTGAACCATGCGATACGCTCAAACGGATCGAGGATCGCGCTCGCGCGATTCGAATCGTTAGAAAATATCGTCCAAAGGAATTACACGAGGAACAAAAAATCATTCGGTAAGATCGAAAGTATTTATCATGTCGCGACCAGAAAATTGACATTTCACGGAACCTAATGGAAGGCAATGCTTTCGCAATGATTTCGTAATATTCACTCGGATATATTAAAGAGTTGCATTAAATATGGATAACGTTACTTTCTAAATGCACGATAGGACATTTTTTTTATACCGCGGCTGGGAAGCCAGCAGGATATATGCGATTAATTATCGTTAACACTTTCCTTTTTTTTTTTTTTTTTTTATTTCCAAATTATTGATCAGACGCAGGAAATCGGGGATTTAGAACATCAAGAACGTAATCAAAAATAAATTCGATGCAGTGGCTCGCGGTCGAGCGCTTCGATTCGAAACGATTTTATGGAAAGTGAAAGCAAACGTAGTTTCGTGTGATCAATTAGTCTTTGTCTAAATCATCCGATTCCCACGATGTAATAGAACAAGTAACGCTTTAAGATTGATCGAACTGATTCTCTGACGAATGCACGTTCAGCGTATCTTCGTTCGTATCGTCCCTTCTAATGCAAATATTCCTACAAATAAAGTTGCTACTTTATCCATTATATAACACTTGTAGAGCTTAACAGCCGAAAATATGTTGGATCGACAAAATTTTAATGAAGTTATATTATTTTTTATTCAGTCGTATCTCCCTTTTACTTTGCATAATGTAGGCTCTACAAACGATGTAAGCAAAACTGGAGCTTGCAATGCAGTGATGAACTATAAAGAATATCGAATAAAAAGTAATTTTATCCTGTAGCTATTGAAAATTAAAAGAGAAACAATTTACGGTTTCTAGATTGCGATTCATTCATCGTATGATCTAGAATCGTCCGTTCTCCGTAGCCTCGATCGCGGATCGAGAGGCGCTCTTCGCCGTGATTTATGGATACCCGGTTGAATCACGACTCCCCGTTTACCTTCGTTCATCGAGCAGCCCAAAGATTTTCTGGGTCGATAGCAGAACGTTGTCCGGGATTCGTTAACTATTAGACGTAACAGGTGTTCCTTGCGTAAAAAGAGAACTACTTTAGAACTCCGTCCGTCCGAACTTAAAAATTCGCGCGAATACAAACTGCGAATTAACGCGGGTAGGAAACGTAGGCAGAGAAATTCCAGACCAAAGTCTGTTTTTTGGAAGGAGGGATTTATCGTTGTGTTCATCGATTAAGTAAGAGCACTTTATTATTGCTTTATAACGAAGAGCTGATCGTTGGGGCGATAATTAGTATGTTACGCAAGATCGCAAATAAGCCGGATGAATCGTATGGATGGAATTATATGTATCCCCGGGCCGTGAATGAACAGCTGTCGATTTTCGTGAGAAATCGTTTTCGCCTGTGCATTTCGCGAAACGAATGTAAATTTTGTACGCTCGATGTTTGCGGACTTTCGGACGCCTGACAATTTTTTGCAACCGCTTTTCAATTTTTTAACGACGCCAACTTTCGTAGGAGCTAGTCGTTTTAGAAATTCTTTCAGCGAACGCGCTAGCAAGCGACTATACTCTAATTTAATTGGCCGCTTGGGGCCACTTCCTCGATCGCGAATCAGGTCAGCGATACGAGTCGCCGTAGGTTTGCGCTGCAGGAATTTTAGGAATCAACGAATTCCGAAATCAAGGAATGCCAAAGTTTTCGAAAGTATGGACTTGGGACGTTCCAGGATTTTTAAAAGTTCAAGATCGTGGGACTTCGGGTGTTTTGGAAGAGTATTGGAACTTTGGAATCTTGGTTTTCCGAGACGTTCGGACTTCAGAACGCTGGAAATATAATTCAGGATTCTAGCATTTTACTAATTTGGAAAACTGACATTCGAGAACTTTGAAAGGTTGAAGCAAAGTCAGTTTATATTAATAATTTTCTAAGACACACAAAATAGAATGTACAACAGCGAACATCCTAATAAATAATTGTATTACAAACTTGACTTTCATTCGGTTTTGCCACGCAGACGTAAAAAGGTTTGTCGATCTTCACCGGTGATCTGATCTAGATCGCAAGGTCTCAGGCAATGTCCGGTTGATCGACCCAAAGCCGGAAACGAGAATCGTTGGTGGAGGTTTGGCTGCGATTCGAACCGAGAAAATGGTTTTCTTCGAAACGAAGAAGCGAACCGAACGCGATCGTGACTCGCCACGAAAGGGAATAAACTCGCGGCGATCGCATTGCTCGATCGGATCGGTTTAGAAAGTCCGGGATGCGCCGCGCTTCTTTAAATGGATTTTAAATCCGTCTGTTGCGAAGTGAATTCTTAGCTGTGTTACCTTGACACTAGGCGACACTATTACGGGATATAGAAAATGCGAATAGAACGACAGGATGACGGCAAATATTTAAATACAACGTAGGAACAGATCGGAAAAGAACCACTATTACTATAAGTAAAGGTTAATTTTACGTTCCTGAAAGAATAGATGTCGATTGTGTAAAATTCTGCAACGTAAAAATAGTAAACTTTGAGGAAGAAAAATTAATATTTTAGACAATTTCAATGAATGATAAATCTCTAGGCATAGAACAGTAATTTAAATTTAAATAATACTTAAAGTATTTAATATAAATACAAATTTAAAAATATCTGAAATTTAACGCGCTAAAAGAATTTTTGTTCAAATTATCAGAATTATCGAGTATGCCCAAAGAGACACTAGACTTGAACGAATTTCTCTACAGAAGCGTTCTCGTTCGTCCACTTGTTGCTCCATGACTTCCATGCAGACGTCCTTGAATTTTCTACTTTCGAAAAAAAAAAAGAAAAAAAAAAATAAGAATGCCAAAAGTTTAACGTATGCTAAACGAACATTTCACGTTGACCGCGCTCAATATGGAATTCGCTTTCCTTCTTACCATGGAATTAGAACCCAGCCTGTGGAAATTGCTGAATACAATCGAGCAAATCAGGCGTGTCTCGTTAGGCGGCCATTTGTTCAAACAGCGGTTACGAAATGGAAGTCGATTTTCATTCTCGTCGATCGCTTTATTCTCCATATAGTGACCTGAAAAATTATCAGCAAAATATGAAAAATTAGTGAAATTTTTTAACAAGAATTTGTCCTGCTTTGCTTGCCATTCACAAAATGATGTAAAACTACAATATTATTACTGTTTAAATCGTAATATTACGATGACTGAAATAATAAAAATATGGTAGCTAACGATCTAGTTAAAGAATTAAACGATTTTTCGTGCGCGTATGGAGCTTGTGTTTTGGTTTACAAATGAATTGCGAATAAATTTTCGATTTGCCAAAAATAACCGAGTAATTACACGCCATCTAGCAAGAGGCGTGGCGCCGATCGTTTCTAAAGTGTATAACGTCTGCGATACGGAATCGGGGAAAGTCGTTCGCCATGGAAACGAGTCACGGCCGATGTGCCGGTTTTACATAAGGTGAAAATCGTCTTTAAAGTGAAAGAGTGCCGCTGTGGATGCAAAAGCGAGAAAGAAACGGAACAACGGTGCATACGACCTTCTCCTCTTTACGAATCAAATTATTCACACACTGGCAACCATCGGTTTATATAAACAAGTACGGAATAAGTCAGCTGTACCCACAGTCGCCAGCAAAATTTAATGAACGGACAAAGGAAATAATGCTTGGTTTTTAATCGTTTCGATTAAAATTACTCGCGTTTATCGGTAGATACACGGTGGTATTTTGTCGTTCTCGACAACTATTCGAAGTTACAGTACAAAAGATTATAGACCAGGACCGATTACGAATTGCACGCACGTTAATAGCGACCGTGTTCCTCGATTTCGTATTCACGTCGGTTCTTCCTTCGAAGAGAGGGAACTTGTACATTTTCGTGATTTGCCACGCGAAAGACTGTATCACTGGGTGGCGCTCGATGTGCGTCACTAGTATTACAAGATCTGATGAAACTATTTTACGTATTTCTTATTGAGAACTCGATTTCGTCCCGTGTCCACGTCTGTGCTCCCAGAAATGTTGCAACCAGATCGCTTTTTCCACATCTCTCGTTCGTTAGGCGATACGGTCCCATATCTCAATAACACGAAAATGGTTTTGTCACCTTTTACTAACGTTATAGAAAACAATATAGGGGACGTTCACCCAGTATTGAGATTTCCTTTGAACAAATGGAAAACTATAAGAGATACATTTGATGTCGTTTGAAGGTCGAAGAACAGTCTTAGGCTACGAGGGAAGAAAGGAAGGACGAAAGTCCTGCAGCGTCAGCGGAAGCAGAAAAATGGAAAAAAGAGTCCGTTGTGCTAGAAATAATTCCGGACGTGGAATTGCGTTGGTAGTTTTGTGTCCGTAGAGAGCACCGTTACGCGCTAGTGTATACGTGCTCGACCTGAATTATTTCCGCTGCAACGCGGCCATTGTGCCCAGAACGAGGAGTTTCGAGTGCGCTGCGTCGCCAGGGATCGCCTGCACATGTTCGAATTTCGTCGAACGTTCAGCACGGCCACGTAAGTACATATGACGAAATGGGAACCATCGAGTATGCGAGTTTCGCTCGAATTCTGCGCCCAATACGGTGGATAATAACATCTTGAAGAGACGAGGCGTAGCGATCGAGATTGCGCGGGAAATTCGAATTTAAAATGTTGTACTTTTCATACACTCGGTATTCCGAAGTACTTGGACGCATCTACGACTCGAACGTTTGGCTGCAGATTAAATATTAACGATACCAGAAGGAACAACGCGTTCTTCGAAGCTACCGAGCAGCTTTACCTGGAAATATGTGAAGTCACTGACAGACAAAGGCGACTTCGTTTGCCTGAGAAATTCTTCCACGCCTCCGCGCGACATAGCTGCAGTCAGCATCACTTAGTGTCACATTATTGTTCATCTTTCCTGTTTTGCGTAAACCATGAATGTTTTGCTCGATGTTTCGTCATTCGATTCGACGAATTATACTCGAAGCGCAATTCACGCTCGAAGCAACTAGTACAAAATTTTCCGTTCGTAAATACTATTCATACATGTTCGTTTAACCATTAACAAGATATTGTAAATATTTTATCTTGTAATAGTGGTTTAAAATATAAAAGCTATAATTAAGTTAAGCAAGTTTCATTTTCGCAACTATTTTAATCGATGTCCGACCATTTACAGTGTAATTGTCAGCTGAAAACGATTAAAATTATTTCTTTTGGTTTCAGGCTGAAGGAATTGATCACCTGGTAGCCATGAACCTCGCGCTGCATGGATTTTTGTTGCAGGGTGAGTCCTCGGTTAATACTTTCCACCGTTATTAAGAACCCCGTTCGTTCTTGCACTCTGATCTTGAATAATTTCAAGAAAGAGAAGTTTTTTTTTTCGCCTCGCGTAAAAGTAAACGAACTTTTACACGAGCCAATTTTCCAACCCTCTCGCGAGTCGCATACGTTCGCGTTCGTTGCATGCATATGCTCCCTGACACGAAATAAAGCGAGTGCAATATGGTGCATCGCGCAAACAATGCACCAAAGAGGAACTTGCACTCTCAGATCGGGGGTTGACCTAACTCAACTTCTCTCGTTGCATACAAGGTTCTCGAAAGAGGGTACGGAACAATGCACGGAAGAAGTGCATAAAGCATGCAGCCGAGTTGCATTGCATCTTTCTGCCGCGTTGTTTGAACACCTGACTGCTGGAAGCCAGGACCGGAGGAAATGGCTATTTGAAAAACTCGATAGTAAATAAACATTTAAATTTTTCCAGCTGTGCACGAAATTTTCTTAACCAGTTGATCACTCAGAAAATAGTAATATTTCATTAAATTATGCAAATTGTTTCATTTTTACATATCTTTGGCTCCCTCAAAGGTGCAATTGGAGACATCTTTAACGTCAGAGAGATCCATTCTATGTCCCACTTCGTTATTAATTTCCTTTTCATGCAATTTTCTAGATCCTTAATATGAAGGTTCTCATATTATACTTGAAAATGAATCTGTGATTGTTTTTCCAGCTGCTTTCGTCCTTTTAGTTAAATCTGCGTAGGGTTTTTAGTATTTGAAGAATAGTATGAACAATTCATTGTCGATGGCTAACAGAGCACATTTAGAGTTAGATTCTACTGCTAAATTTTTTAATCAGTTGATGTTTCAGTCAGTAGTAGTATTTCGAGGTTCAATTTTAACAATAAATTATATGAATTGTGTAATTGTTATATATCTTTGGTCCCTCCAAATATGCAATTGGAGAGATCTTTAATGTCAGAGAGATCATTGTTGTTCCATTCTCTGTCCCACTTCGTTATTAATTTCCTTTTCATGCAATTTTCTAAGTCTTAAAAATGAAGGTTTTCATATGTACTTGAAAATGAATCTGTGATTGCTTTTCGTTTTTTTAGTTAATTCTGCATGGATTTTAGTACTTGAAGAATAGTATTGGGATCGGATACTATTGCAACATTTTAGAGGCCTACTTCTTGAACTATGTTTAGTGCATGCTCGATTAGCAGGAGTTCCACCCTGAAGTTTGGTGCCTCCTCTGAGACATTGGTTTTTGTTGTGGACCGTATTGAACTGACCGTCGCGTCTCATCAAAGACGAAGGTATTGAAGTCGATTCAGAGCTCGATCGCATCACAAGTTAGAATAAAATCGACAACAAGTGGATGTACCGATCGTCCCACGTGCTTCGACCGCGATGTTTCACGGACGGATGTCCCACAAGACCGCATTCCATTGTCCAGACTCAGCCGATGCAACTTCCACTTAGCTCCTACATAAACGCGAATATATGCTAACGACACTCGCACAAAGTGGTTTCGCGCGTTTGCGATAATCACTGTTGGTGGTCAAGAAACGTGGCTAGTCGAGCGCACGCGGGAAATCTGATCAATACGAACATATTTGTGCAACAGCCCTAAAAGTGTCTCATATTTACGAGTTCTTTTTTAATCGCAATTTACGTGACATCGAAACTAATAAACTTCTATATTTTAAAGTCACGGAGAAGAGAAAGGTTACCTGAAATTTTTGTCTAGCTGAAAAGTGATACAACGATTTGGATCAGTGGTATTTAAATGTAACTCTATATTGTAAAATTTCTCAAAACGCCCAGGCCTGAACGGTGTTAATAGGATCGCGAACCGAGCGGCTCGCGAATGTACGCGGACAAAATCATAAATTGGCGAACAGACGGGCGAACAGTGTCGCAAATGAATCATCGGTAAATACGTTTGTGATGCGCGGGCGTGCGTCGCCACGCATGCGAAGGAACACCGTTGCCCGCAGCCTTGTCGCAGCCAAGCCAAAGAAAGTTTTCTTCGATGGTGAACGAACGAGGTTGCGTGGCTCGCCTCGAAGCGTGAAACATGCGGAAGAATATTTTTGAATGATTGAAACGGTACAGCCGTTTCCGCGTTTCAATTAAAATCAACAGAAACAAATTTCGTCGGTGAAAATACCGTTACGGAGGCGAAATTCAAAATGTGGCATTGTTTTCCTTTGAACGATCAAAATTTGTCAAAATCGATACCGTTCTTTAACAAAAGGATTAAAATACGTAGAAAGTAACGACGATATCAAAATAAGAATTTCGTACCTAATTTTTTTTTTCATTATTTAGTAATTTTTTTAGTAAATTCATATCCAGATTAATTTTCATCGGCCAATTGAAGATTATCAAAATAAGAATTTCGTACGTAATCTTTTTTTTTAGTATTTAATAATCTTTCTTATTGAATACGGTATTTTGCTGTACCTGATCGTAAATTCATATCCAGATTAATTTTCATCGGCCAATTGAAAATTATCAAAATAAGAATTTCGTATCTAATCTTTTTTTTTTATTATTTAATATTTCTAAATTCAAAACGGGGCCCCCATTGTTTTCCTTTGTTAAAATCGATATCATTGTTTAACCAAGGAATTAAAATATGTAGAAAGTAATGGAGATTATTCCTGTACACTTTTATACTGTACAAGTATAAATTTTCTTGTTTCGACTGTGTGAAGCACACAACTACCTAGCACCGTAAGGTACAATGTAAAAATGATCGAATCGTTATGTCAGATTACTGTGACATTACCCCTGGTCTCTTATGCAATTGCGTGGACAGTAACGGAAAGGTCGTCAAAAATACAAACTCCTTCAGCTAGTTGATCCTAGACGCTACAGGCGTATAGAAAGTCTTGAAATTGTCCAGTGGTGCTATAAATAACCGGCTCGCTGCAAAGAATTTTGCATAACGGACTCGATAGAATCTAATAGCCGATCGATCGAAATAATTAACTTTCGCTGTCCCGCGTAAAAACGCCAGTTCATTAATCATATGGCCGATGTGACCGCGGCGTTATCACGATCACGTAACAATCGAGGATTAATTATTGCGAATCAGAAGTCACTGGCGTGAAATCAAATGAAATTAATCCGTGGAGACGGTGTTCGTATTGATTAAACGGTCACCTGTTGAGGCCAGCGTTCGTCGAGGCGTTTCGCACGAGGGTCGTTCGATAAGTCCTCAGAAAAAGATGGAAAAACAAATTATTTTAGGTAGAACTTTTGGAACTTTTCAACATAATCTCCTTTTAGCTCTATACACTTTTCCTAGCGCGTTTCCATTCGAAAGGTCCTTTTTTTATGTTTAGAAATAAAAAAAAGTCACTGGAGAGGGATGTTGTAATAATTCGAACTTTAATTCCATGATTTTGCCCATCGAAACTGCACAAGTGTACACCCATGCATTGTCTCGATGCAAGAGGAAGTTCCTTGCTTCAGTCGACAATAAAAATGAAACCATGTGGTGGATATAACCGAGACTTTGACGATTGTTTAGCGAGTCACGATGTTTACTAAAGACAAACCATTTTCGATACTACGAGCGCCAGGTCTCGGATTTTCTAAGGACTCATTAAACGAACCTCGTATCAACGCGTTAGAGAAACAAGGAAGATCGTCGACTTAACGTTCGATTCTCCCGTGAACGGGTGCACAATTTTCTGGAATCCCATTCGACTCGACGTGGTTCTTTGACAGTCTGTCTGTCCTTCTCTGGTTGCCTGTCTGTCTGACTTTTCTCCTTACGTAACCGCGTAACTGCGGCGCAAGGATGCGGTTAGACCTTTCGAAGCGTGTTTCTCCACGGTGCCGATGTCACGTAAGACGCGTGTTAGTCAGTCACGATCTTAATTTCACTCTCTCACGTTGCCGAATAATTGGTAGTAATAACGCCATACGCACTTCCACTCCGCTGGGAACAATTTTTCATCGACCTGTCGTTCCGTTTTTTTTCCTTCTTTTTTTTTCATTCCTAACAACGCTTTCACGTCGTTTAGACCCGTTCAGAAGTCTCGTTCGACGGAAGGAATCGATACCAACTCCCGTTGTCGTGCAAATCTTATTCCGAAACAGCTTTTACCGGCTCGCAGTGTGACGAGTGTATGGGAATTTGGAGCAATATTAATAACTCCTAAACTATTCAATTTTCGAAACCTCTAATACTTTTTTCAAGAGGATACAAAGATGCCACCGATTTACGAAAAAAAAAATACAACTTTACTAACAAATTTAAGATCATCTTAATTTTTTATTGAATAAAAAGTTTTTTGCCAATTTTTTCGTTTACACTTGCTTGAAAAAATTCGAATTAATCAGCTGGAGTTCATAGAATATAGGATCAAAGGATAAAAAATGAACACTTATTTGAATTTTTTCTTTAAATATATTTTTTAAATCTGATCGATTCGTATCTGATTGAAGACGCGATTCATCTATTATTACATATTGTTTAATATCGCTGATTTTGACTAGTTCTTTTTCGGTTTGAGCAACCTTGACCACTTAAAATTGATTTGCACATGAAGTTTAATTAACTTTTTTTTAAACTCAAGACAAAGTTGATGAATATTCAACATAAAAAATTGGGACAAATTGTTAATATTGTAAAGAAAGGTCTTACAATACTAAACGTAACTTACAAAAATCAAATTAATTAGATAAACATTCGACAAGTGGCACATGTTCAAAAAAATGCACCGAAAACTAGAATAAATTTCAAGCATTATTTTCGACAACAAATTGGAAAATTCACTACAAATTGCGGGTAGTATTAAAATCTACGTTCCTTTATTAGTATTTTAGGATATAATGAGCTATGAATTTTAGACTTCAGTTTTTTTACTTTTAACTTGGCCCACATTGACCTCATTTTTATCGCCTATTTTTAACAATTTTCATTAGTCGCGTCCATTATAAACTGCGCTATAAAAAGATGGGACACTGTGACATTTTC